GGGCGCCCCCCTCGCCCGGCGAGCCCAGGGCCCCGCCGCGCGCCAGCCGCCCAGCGTCGCCCCGCAGGAAGTTCATGAGCACGGTCTCCGCCATGTCGTCGGCGTTGTGGCCTGGGGGCAGAGACGGAGGCAGGTGAGGGGGGCGCGCGAGGAGGCGGCTGCAGGTCACGGAGTCCCCTGGGCATTGTGGGGCAACCCGGGGGTGGAGAAGGGCACCATGTGGGACCTAGAGGTGTGGGTTCACAGACTGTGGGCCGCACGGGGCAGCCAGGGGCAGGTTGGAGGTGGGTACACCAAGAAACAAGAGAAACACACAGACCGCAAGTGGGCAGCTTTCCTGAACCCACTGCCTGCCAACCTACAGCGTACCAGGCCTTCTGCAGATGCCCACCGGCGTGGGGGCGGCCGCGCTTTAGCTGCAATACCGGCTCTGCCTCAGCTCAAAATGTGTAGGAGGAGTCAAAATGGCTGTGGTGCAGGAGTGTAGAACTCTGATGTTGGGGTTGGTTAGTTCTGTCACTCTGCCAGGCTTAGATGAACCTTCCTAAAGGCAGAGAGGGGAGCTCACTGCCACCAGATGACAAGAGCTGGAGGTGAAGTGGAGTGCGCCCTTGGACCCCGAGATCCCCGCACTGGACTTCTTTGGCAGAGATGCCCGGCAGAGAGAGAGATGTGGTAGAGAGAGACACCCCAGCAGAGAGACAGTCACAGTGGAACCAAGCGGCAACCCTGACACAGAGTGGCAACCCTGCCGGCCCATGCAGCGAGAAAGCGGAGTACCCTTGGGAGAGAGGCTTGCTGGCGGAGTGGGGTGCATGTGGGCGTACCTGTCGGCAGAGCTCCAAGGGCTGTGTAACATGCTCACCTGAGCAGGGCAGAGGCCAGGAACCACAGAAGCGTGTCTGAGGGCACAGCGGGGGGGAGTGTCCTGACCAAAGAACTGTATACTGAGCGCGTTCCTGACCACAAACCCCATCACTGTGAGTATTGTCTGTGAGTTCTGTGTGACCATTGCAATGAATTATCAAACCCAGTAAAGAAGTAGTGAGTGCTGTGGGAGGGACGGCTGGTGTCAGAGTTGGTAAAAGGCTGGAGGGTGGTGGCATGTCTGGCCTCCTAGGAACAGGCCTTGGGCTGCCGATGGTGATTCTGTCTTCCTCTTGTGAAGTTAGAGGAGGTCAGGAGATGACATCTCCATGTCCTTCTTGCAAGGGTATTTAATTCACATTCTGAAGAGGGTGGTTGTGACGGGCAGAATAAAGCCGCCCCCAATCCCTAAACCAGAACCCATGAACCTGTTAGGTTGAATAGCAAAAGAGAAATAAGGATGTTAATTAACTGACTTTACAATAGAGTCATGAGCTCGGCTTCTCCAAGTGGCCCAATGTAATCACCTACAAGAACCCGGACTCATGCCCCATGTGCTCCAGGGCAGAACTGCTCCAGCGGTTTCTTGGCTGTTGTTTTGATTAAAGCGGATTCCTAGGCTTTTCTTCCATGGCAGCACGAGGGGGGCTCAAACTGCCAACCATCAGGATAGTGGTTGAGGGCAAGTTGTTTATGTCACCCAGGGGCCTTAAATACAATCACCAAGAACAGTCAAAGCCAACTGTCTGCCATAGAGTCCATTCTGACTTACAGGAACCCTATGGGACAGACTAGACTTGCCCCACAGGGTTTCCACAGCTGTCAATCTTCACCAAAGCAAAGTCCGAATCAAACCCACTGTGGTGGAGTTGATTCAGACTCACAGTGCCCCTAGAGGACAGAGTGGAACTGCCCACAGGGTCTCCAAGGCTGTCAATCTTCAGGGAAGCAAAGCCCAAACCACACCCACTGCCCTGGAGTCCATTCTGACTCACAGCGCCCCTAGAGGACAGCGTGGAACTGCCCCACAGGGTCTCCAAGGCTGTCAGTCTTTATGAAAGCCAACTGCCTCATCTTTCTCCTGCAGCCAAGTGCTTAACCACTGTGCAAGCATGGCTCTTTCTGTTAAAGATTAGAGCCCACAAAACCCTATAGGGTAGTTCTACTCTGTCACATGGGATTACCAGGGTTAGGTGCAACAACGTGCAAGGGAGGAGAGGCCAACAATGAGGAGTAAGTCATGCTTTTCAGAAACAGATAAGATTCTAAAGGGAGACAGCCAGGAACCAGGAGAGACAGGGAATGTTAGTGACAATAGAAGAAAGTAAAGAGCCAAAGACCTAATCCCCAGAGACTAACCCCAACCCCCTCCACTTCTCAGTCGTGTAGCTCAAGATAGTGTCAAAAACTAGAAGCACATCTGGCGCCTGCTCTTGAACCTTCAATGGGCTTCTGTCCAAAACTGGAGCATGCGTATATGTCCTTCTTGTGGGGCTCCTCCCCTTAGGACACGCCCAGGGGCTCCTGTACCACTTCTTGGGCATGCGCCCAACTCTCCTCCAAAGACGGCTCTACAGCAAGTGACAACCCGCCTCCTCACCCCGCCCGCGCATGCGTCCCAGCCCCTCCCACCAGCCCCTGCTTCCGCGCATGCGCTCACCTGTCACGATGTGCGTGGCTCCCACGAGGCGCGCGCCTTCCTCCAGCGCCCGGCGCCGCAGCACCCCGCAGAACGTGCAGCAGGCGCGGCTGCGGCCCGAGCCGGCCGTGCTGCGCGCAATAGCGTCCATCGTCCAGCCCCCGAAGAGGTCGGCGTAGGCCACGACGGTGAGCGGCAGCTCCCAGAGCGCCGCCTGGCGCCTCACGGCCGCCAGCGCCGCGTCCCGGTAGCCGCCGATGCCCTCGTCCACGGCCACGAGGTGCAGCGAGACGCCCAGGCGCGGCGCCAGCTCCCGCAGCACGTGCGCCAGCACCGTGGAGTCCTTGCCGCCCGAGGCGCCCACGGCCACCACGGCCCCGGGGGGCAGCAGGCGGCCCGTCAGCACCGTGTGCAGCACCTCGGCCTCGAAGGCGGCGCAGAAGCAGGCGCCGCACAGCGCTTGTCCGGAACGCGGGCGGCGGAGGGCGGCGCGCGCCGCGCTGCAGGAGGCGCAGGGCGGGGCTGGCATCGTGGCGCCCCCAAGGGGTCGGCGTCTCCTGGACAGAGGGGAGGGAGGCAGTTTACACGTGCATTCCGATTGTGGGTTCGCTGTCTCCAGAGAGTCCATCTGGACAGCTCCCCTGGCCTGAGTAAACCCCAGAGAGGCGTGGGCCTGGAGCCGCAGGAGGGGCGCGTGTTATCCGTCGGCTCCGGTTTCCTCAGACCATTGCTTCCAGGAAGGTTTTCTGGGTTGCGCCAAGTAGGCACCATGGGGAGGATGACCCAAAGGAGTTAGGTTTTTTTTTTTTTTGGGGGGGGGGGTAAGAGAGTAAGAGACCCCGAATTAGGTTGGGCCCGGTTCTTCCCCGTCGAGAGGACTGGCGATGGATTTTGTACCAGTTTCACAGCTTCTAGGGAGAACACCCCTATTATAGCCCTGATCAGAGGGGCAGGGTGTGTGGGCCTGCAGGCCTGTTCAGAGAGCCCGGGAAGGCTGAGTGACTCTTAAGGACCGGGAGAATGAAAACGGAAAAGACCATCGTTCGCTTTGGGATGCGGTGCTGTCTCCAGGAGCAGGCCCCAAGTGCATCCCCCAAAAGGTAGAGTGAACCCCCCCCTCCATGGAGACAGGCAGCCCGCGTCACGCCTTCAAGGCGGCCAACCTGGGTTGCGGGGGGGGGGGTGCGCCCCCAAAATCGAACACAGCCCTGCTGTGCTATCAGAATCTGCCACCCTCCGGTCTTTCGCAAGGTTTTGTGGCCTCTTCAAGACACGGGTCAGCCTACCCTTGACCCCTCTCAGCCGAGCACCCGCGGAATGGCGGTGGGGGAAGACCTGGGACTGCAGGTTTGGGGAGAAAATCAAGATCCCATTTGGGCCTGCCAGCTGTGAAGGGCGCGTTAGGTGCCCAGCGCCCCTCTCCCCCGGCTGGGTCAGGGGTCTTCCGTGGGCTTCCACGGCTGGGCGTACGCCTCCCCCGAGACCCTGACCCCGGCTCCGGCTGCCACTCACTGATGACGGGTCCGCCTCTCTCATTGAGCTCTCTAAAGACAGGACCGGGTTTCCTGGGCCACCACTGTCTCCCCTCTGCCAGGACTGGCACAGAGTGGGCACTCGGTAGGATGAGGGAATAATAAATAATAAAAAATAAGGCTGAACGTGGGCCGCAGGCAGCCTTTGGATCGCAGCCATGTCACAGGGTGGATTTTGTATGACATCTTTTCATCAGAACAGATTCTAGAACAGAGGAGGGGTTACCCGGACGTAACTGACTGGGGTTGAGGACAAGGAGATGGTCGCATCCTGCCCTGGAGAAGGGGCTGGGCGGGCAGGAGGCAGACCAAAGCGGGGTCCACGGCCGAGGGTGCTTCCGGCCAGAGCACAGCCGACACACAGACTTTGGAGGGTCCCAGAGGCGTGTCACTCCCAGAAAAACCCGCAACCCACACACGACAAAGAGCCAGAATCCGTGGCGGGAGGCGATACTGACCTGGGACCTGCAGACTCTGCCTAACACGCCGAAGCCCGGTCAGGAAGTGGCTCCGGAAACTACAAATCCCAGAAGGCCAACAGGCTATCTCGCCTATGACTCCCAGGAGCCCGTGCACAGCTCTTGCGAAGCTCCAGTGTTTCCTGGGATGTTTGGCCTACAACTCCCAGCAGTCCTTGCGATCCTATCCGCCAACTGCTTAAACGGAAAAAATGAAGAAATAAGTCAATTCTGACTCAGCCACCGTATAGGAGAGAGTAGAACTGTCCCATGGGGTTTCTTTACGGAAGCTGACTGCCACATTTTTCTCCTGCCGAGCAGCTGGTGGTTTAAACCAGCAGCCTTTCGGTTAGCTGCCAACTGCTTAACCCTTGCACCACTAGGGCGCCTCACGTTATGCCTACAATTCCCAAAATGCAAAGAGAGGCCTGACCTGGTTTCTTTCTGCGCCTGCGCAGGAACACGTGTTCTGGCCAAGAGGTGTTTATTGTGGCTGCAGAGGCTGTCGCTAGTAACCAAAAAGGGCAGCGATTGGAACCCACCAGCTGCTCAGCGGGAGACGGATGAGGCAGTCCTCTTCCACAGAGATTGACAATCTTGGAAAGCCTACGAGCAGTCCTACTTTGTCCTCTAGGGGCGCTGCTGCGTCCGAATCCACTCCTTGGCAGTGGTTTTTTTTTTTTTTGGGTGTGTGTGGCAGCGTCCTGTCACCTGGCGAAATGATTCAAAGTGGCTGGATTCGTGTTTTTTGATTTTGTAGGATCATTACGTTTTTCTTTTCTTCTTCTTCTTTTTTTT